CAAGGGAGAAATCAAAAGTGAAAACTAAAATGTATTCTGAACTGAAAAACATGAAAATAAGCATCAGAGAATTTTTGGAAATGCAGCTAAAACAGTACTCAGAGAAAATTGAGAACACTGCAGAAGAAGATGGTCTTAATCTCAACTTCTACTTTATTAATTTGGAGAAGAAAAAGAGTAAATGAAGCCCAGATTAAATGGGAAAAAATTAATAGATTTCAGAGCAGAAATCAATGCAATAGAAAACAGAATATCAAGAGAGACAATGAATGAAATAAAAAACTGGTTCCCAGATAACATCAGTAAAACAGAAATCTCTAGCCAGTCTGATCAGGGAAAAAAAAGACATAAATTACCAATGTCGGGAATGAAAGAGATAAGACCACTAGAGTCTCCAAATAGGAAAAAGACAATAAGGTAAAATAGTAAACAACACTAAAAATTAGTGGACAACTTAGAAAAAAATGAACTAATTCCTGAAAGGCACCAAAGTTCACTCAAGAAGAAAAAGATAATCTGAATAGCTCTCTATTTTAAAAATTAAGTTTATAACTAAAAACCTTCTCCCGAAGAAAACTCTAGACCAAGATTATTTCACTGGTAAATTCTATCAAACATCTAAGCAAGAAATAAAATCAATTCTACATAAACTTCTTCAGAAAACTGATGAAGAGAAAATACTTCCCAACTTGTATAATGAAGCCAGCATTACTCTGATACCAAAACCAAACAATATTAAAAGAAAAGGGACTCTAGATCAAAATCCCTCAGCAACACTGATAAAAAAAAGTCTCCAAGAATTAATTTTTAGCAATTGAATACAGTGTTATAAAAAAGGGATAATAGAAAAAGATGAAGTGGGATTTAATGTAGCAATACAAGTCACATTTTGTTGTTTTTTTTTTTTAGCAATCATCAAATGTTTCAAACACCTGAAAATCGATGAATATGTTTCAACATATTATCAAACTGAGAAGAAAAAACAACATAATCATCTAAGCAGAAGAAGACAGACCAGTTGACAAAATCCAGTGTTAGCGAAAAAAGTCTTAGCTAGGCAGGAATAGAAGGGAATTTTCATAAGCGTATAGACGATATCTATCAAAGTTAACATCATAATGGATACTGAAAGACAATGCTTTTCCCCTAAAATCAGGAACAAGACATAGATGTGTGCTGTTAATACATCTATTGAATTTTGCACTGGGGGTTTTAACTATTGTTAGAAGGCAAGAAAAATAAATAAAAAGCATCCAAACTGGAAAAGAAGAACTAAAATTCTCTTTGTTTACAGATAATATAATCATATATGTACAAAAATCAATGGAATCTACAAGGAAAGGGCAAATAAGTATGTTTTGCAAAGTTTACGTTATGAGATTGACATAGATAATAACAATGAACAGTGGAAAATGGAAAACTAGGAAAAATGCTACTTATAAGAACATCCAAGAATATGAAATACACATAACTCTGAAAGGTCTATACACTGGAAACTGTAAGATTATTCAGAAAAAGAAGATACACCATGTTTATGGTGTATATATAAAGCTCTAATACAATACGGTATATTATAAAGCTCCAATACTGTTAAGATATACATTTTCCCAAACTTTACTTATATATATATTTAATGCATTGCAATAAAATTTCAGTAGCCTTTTTTAAAAATATTGATGAGGTGTTCTAAAATACATATGGAAATGCACAGGAACTAAAATAGTCAAAACACTTTTGGGGGAAAAAAGCACAAAGAGAAATTACGCTATTTAACTTTGAGATTACTAGAAAGTCACAGTAATCAAAATAGTGTTACTGGTGTCACGGTAGACAAAGAAATGAATGGAACAGATCAAGTGTGTAGAAATAGACTCACTCATTATGGTCAATAGATTTTCAACAAAATGAAATGGTAATTCAGTAAAGAAAGCTTAATCCTTTCTAAAAATGTTGATGGAATAAATGGATATCCATTAACAACAACAAAAAAAAAACTGACTTTAGTCTATAACTTTTGTTATAGATTATATATGATTTTGTTATAGTTATAGTATATATATATAGTTATATACATATAGTTTTGATATATAACTATATACAATTATATATAACTATATATAACTTATATATATAGCTATATATAACTTTGTCCCATATACAAAAAGTAACTAAAAATGGATCATAGATATAAATATAAAAGCTTAAGAGTATAAAATGTCCATATGCAAACACAGGAGAAAACACCTTTGGATCAGGCAAAGATTTTTTTTTAGACATAACATGAAAAAAACACAATGCTCTAAAGAAAAAATTGATATATTGAACTTTACTTTCAGGTAGAATGAATGATGCATTTTCAGCATCAAGAGGAAAAGCTAATACACTCCTTGTTTTTCTTTGGGTTTCCAGTCATTGTTCAACTGTTATCTTTCAACATTTCCTCTCTGAAAGGCAACACTACCTGCTTAAACCACTTCCTCTCAATCTATCACCATTCCCTAGCCCCCTTTTCCATGCCCCATATTCTCCTACCTTTTTAAATCATCTTAGTATTTGTCTCCATCTATCCCTCACCTAAATACTTAACACTTCAATATACACTGACTTTGATGATTCCTCCTGTCCTGACCTCACAAATCCTGAATCTTCTTATCCATTAATCCTATGTCTTGTTCCTTTCAGTACCTTACTTTCCTAAAGAGTACAATTCCAGTTGAACATAGTCAATAAAACATATGGCTATTTTTCCACTCCTTTCCAAAATCCCACTGAAGTACAAGATAGTTAAAGTATAAATTTACAAAAACAAAGAAGATAGAAAAGGCAACAATCACAGATAAGACATGCCAATAAAAATGTTAGAAAATATTATAAAAAGCAGGTAAGGGGTAACTGATTAGCATCAGGGAAAGCTGAAACCCAAGTGTTCTACAAAGCAGAGGTCAAGAAGAGAAGGCCATGTGACAGGAGGGGGGACTGGAGGGAAATGGTCAAAGAGGACAAACTTTCAGTAATGAGACAAGTAAGCACCAGGGATGCCACAGCACGGAGACCATGGTTCACTCGACGCATGAGATGGGAGAGCCGCTAAGTGAGTCCATCCTGAGAGTTCTTAGCCTAAGGAGAAACTTTTCTTTCATTTTTAACGGGGCTTCCCCTGTGGCTCAGTTGGTAAAGAATCCACCTGCAATGTGGGAGACCCGGGTTCCATCCATGGGTTGAGAAGATCCCCAGGAGAAGGGAAAAGCTCCCCACTCCAGTATTCTGGCCCGGAGAACTCCATGGAGCTGTATTAGTCCATGGGGTCACAAAGAGTGACAATCTATTGCAGTAATCATTTCAGAACATACATAAACCATCACGCTATAAACCATAAATCTATACACTGATGTATGTCAATTGTATCGCAATAAAACTCTGGGGCGTTAGGGAGAAAAAAAGACCAATCTACGGGGTCAGGAAAGCCTAACTCCAGGAAAGCCCAGGACCTGGAGAGGGCTAAATAAAGGAAAAGGAGAGGGCGCTGAAACAGGAGGATCAGTTCAGGCTATACAAGGAACAGCCAGAATTCCAGGGCCTATTGCTCAGCCCACAGACAGGCAACTATTCCTCCCCCAGAGCAGACAAAAACAAGCAGAAAAAATTAACCGAGAGCCTCTGGATGCAGAGACACCAGGCAGCTTACCAAAACCAGGAGGATGAACTAAAGCATGACTCTCTGAACTCAATCTACTTTCTCTACATATTCCCATAACAGAGTAGTGAAACAAAATACAGGACATCAGTTAAATCTGAATATCAGGTAAAAAACAGTCTTTAGTGTATGCATCCCTGGAGGAGGAGATGGCTACCCACGCCAGTATCCTTGCCTGGGGAACCCCATGGACAGAGGAGACTGGCGGGCTGCAGTCCATGGGGTCACAGAGTCGGACACGACTGCGCGACTGGGCACACACAGGGTGTGCATTTCCCAATCACTGCATGCGAATCTAACTGGCGATCTGTATTTTAATTCGCCACATCCGGCAACCCTACCTTCAGACGAGAAACTAGAGAAACGTTCTTTGGGGAATCTCACTGGCCCAGAAAAGGAAGTTAAAGATATTAACATGAGGAGTTCTCAGCGAAATCAAAGATCCTTACCAGATCACACACACCACACACACACATTCCCCATAAGAAACAAGAGTTTCCGCTAAAATTTACTCAAATCCTAAGACCCGTGAGTGCGAGAAACACACTAATTCTAACTTTTGGAAGTAAAATAAAATTTTCTTAACTTTGAATAAATACAATGAAATGTGAAGTAAGACAATGGAAACAAACAGAGCAAAAATCCAAGAACTATTAAGGTGTGTAATATTTCATCTTTAATGCCTTCAAAAGATAATGAGCAGTACAATACTGACCTTTATTTTTATAGCCCTTAATTTTTAATTTTATATATTTTATAAAATGAATAATAATAATATAATCTTTAAGTTAAAAAACGATATTGTTTATTCAAAGAATTTTATGTCATTAAAGCATCAGTATATTAGCATTTTAGTAATGAAATGACAGGAAAGAACACCTACAAGTTAAAATATTCCATGTGACTATACTAATGACTCACAGAAGAATTCAGGGAAAGTGGGTTATAAAGAAAGTTTGTGCCAAAATGATAAAACAGCAGGGCTCAAGGGACACAAGGAAGTAGGGTACTTGAGAAAATAAAAGGGTTCTCAAACCTGACTAATCATTAGAATAATCTGGACATCTACTGAGGAAAAAAAGATGTCGAAGCTCAAAAATTTCAAACCTAATGACCCAGAGTATTGGGAGATGGACCCAAATCTTAGTTTCTGAAACTTTCCCCATGCGATTCTGATAGCCAGGAAGATTCTGGAACCACTGCTTTAGAATGCTGACTTAGGTGTGCTTATTCAACAGTATGATCTATTTGCTTTAAGGACAATTACGATGCTATAGACAATAAATGATGAAATTATTCTTCTTACCTTGGATACATTGCTGACATAATTCATTTGGATAGTAGTTTCCTTATCAACTTGATTACAAAGGTTCTGTAAAGTAGATGCATATTCTTTATCACTTTTTATCCTCAGGGCCATGAATTTCTTCACTGTCTCCAGTAACCGTAACTCCCAGTCTTGCAATTTTAACACAGCTTCGTGTGAGTTCTTCAGGTCACTCCCAAACCCCATGTTTGTAAGGCACCGTCTTATCCTCCACACTGCACAACTGAGCCTTCTAGTCAGCACATATCTGTGTATGTAAACAAAAGGAAAAGAGTCTTAAATCAAAAGGAAAGTAATCTTCAAAGTTATGGCCCACTTTTTTGGAGTGGAAAAAAAAAATCACTATAACTGAATGTTTTCCCCCAAAGATCAGGAACAAGATGAGAATGTCCAATCTCAGCACTTAGATTCAACCTTGTTCTAGTCAGTACAATGAAGAAAATGAAACAATTTCCATTGAAACTGGGAAGGAAGAAATAAACTATATTTACTTACAGATGACATGACACTGTATTAGAAAATCTAAGAAGTACAATTTTACAAGTATTAGAATTAATAAATGAGCTCAGTAATATTACAGGGTACAAGTTCAATATACAAATATCAACTGTATTTCTATACTCTAGCAATGACCAATCTGAAAATAAAATTTAAAAACAATTCCATTTACAACAGCATCAAAAAGAATAAAATATTTAGGAATAAATTTTGCAAAATAAACACAAAACTTTACTCTTAAAATTTTAAAACATTGTTGAAAAATGCAAAGAAAACCTAAATAAATGGAAAGACTCATGTTCATGGATCCAAAAGACTTAATATTGTTAAAGAGGCAATCCTGTTCAATTTGATCTACAAATTTAACTCAATCCATAGTAAAACCTAAGCTAGCTTTCTTTTTTTTTTTCTGCAGAAATTGATAAACTAATCCTAAAATTTACTTAGAAATGCAAGGGAGCCAGAATAGTCGCCCAAACAAAAAACCAAAACACCATGAAGAAAAAGAACAAAGTTGGAGGACCCAGAATTCAGAGCCACGTCCATTCGGCAGAGAGAAAAAAAAAGTCTTGTCCACTACAGATGCTGGGACGATTGAATTCCACATGCAGAAGACTTCAGCAAGATGTCTCCTTAGACCATATACAAAAAAATTAACTCGAAAGAAATCACAGATTCAAATAGAGCTAAACCTGTAAAACTCTCAGAAGAAAATAAAGTAGTGAATCTGTGACCTTGGCTTAAGACAATGGCTTCTAGATATGACACCAAAAGTACAAGAAACAAAATAAAAATATATAAATTTGGTTTCATCAAATAAAAACTTCTATACTTCAAAGACCAACATCAAGTAAGTGATAATGCCACAGAACAGGAGAAAATATTTACAAATTATGTATCTGATAAAGAGTATCTATCTGGATTATACAAAGATTTCTTAAACTCAGTAACAACATGACCAACTAATTAAAATGGTCAAAAGACAGATATGACTAGACATTTCTCCAAACAGAATTTATAGATGTCCACTGAGCACATGAAAAGATGTCCAGTATCACTGGCCACTAGGGAAATACCAATCAGAACCACAATGAGACATCATATCACTAAGATGTCTACAATAAAAAGACAGACAATATCGAATGTTGGAAACTGTGAAGAAATCTGAACCATCATATATTGGTGGTATAAATTTAAAATAGGCAGTTCCTCAAAAATTAAACACAGAGTTATCATATATGACCAAGAAATTCACTCTTAGGCATATACTCAAGAGAAATAGAAACATACGCCCACACAAAAACTGGTATATGAATATCTGCCAAATGGTCATCAGCTGATGAGTGGATAAATGAAACATAATATAACTATACAAGGAATCATTATTTGACAATGAAAAGGAATTGATACGAGGTAGGGCATGGATAAACCTTGCAAACATCCTATGTGAAGAAGTCAGACACAAAAGACTGACATGTTGTACTGTCTTCTTATATGAAATGTCCGAAATCTACCTTTAGAGACATAAATCAGATCAGTATTTGACTAAAGCCAGCAAATGTGGGAAGAGATGAAGGGTGAGTGCGAACGGATAATGGATTTCCTTTTGGGGTCAGGAGAGTGCTCCAAAATTGAGGGTGGCAGTGGTTGCACAGCTCTGTGAACAGTAAAAGCCACTAAGCTGTACAGTTTAAACGGGTGAATCCTCCAGCATGTGAGTCACGTCTCACAGCTGTCTAGCGATCACTGGAGCATGCCTTGTAACCGCCTGAAGGTCGGCGGGCTCCCCTGACGGCTTAGCACACTCCTAAGGGTGCTCTCCCACAGAAGCAGTCACCGCTGAAGAGCGTGAGTCTGGTTAGCACCGCCACTGGTTAGGAAACACAGAATAGTCAATGGGCCTCCCTGGTAGCTCAGCTAGTCAAGAATCTACCTGCAGTGCAGGAGACCCCGGTTCAATTCCTAGGTTGGGAAGATCCCCTGGAGAAGAGATAGGCTACCCACTCCAGTATTCTTGGGCTTCCCTGGTGTCCAGATGGTAAAGAATCCGCCTGCGATGTGGGAGGCCTGGGTTCAATCCCTGGGTTGGGAAGATCCCCTGGAGGAGGGCATGGCAACCCCACTCCAGTATTCTTGCCTGGAGAGTCCCATGGACAGAGGGGCCTGGCAGGTTACAGTCCGTAGGGTCATAGAGAGTCAGACACGACTGAGTGACTAAGTCCAAAGGTCAATTATCAGAAAATGACCCCAAATCTATTCCTGATTGTTTAATATAAATCCCAAGAACTATGATAGAATTTATTTTCCCCTCCAGCCTCCTAGAATTTCAGGCAGTGAATGTTTCAGGGTCAGTTAAAAGAAAGAAACAAAACACATCTTTAATTTTAGGTCTGGCTCATATCAAAAGTCAATTTAATTGAGCTGAAATCCTCTAGGCTAATCAGAAAAATGAGACTTCTCTCTCTAGCCTCAGTGATACACATTTAAAATGATGATAAAACTGTGAGTTTTCCAAATAGGAAGCAAATTTCAATTTTTTCCCAACTGAAAACTGTTCAGTTTTATAATCAAACAAGTGGGGGAGAGGAGAGAAAGATGATGGGAAAATACACTTCATCAAGGTTTCCAAAGTAGCAACCAGGAGACTAAATGGACCTTAACATAAATAAGTCACTACAAGTAACTGACTTTTCCACTTTAATACCAAGGAGGAGAAGTCCAGGGGCCTCCCTGGTAGCTCACTTGGTACAGAATCTGCCTGCAGTGCAGGAGACCCGGTGTGATTCCTGGGATGGGAAGACCTCCTGGAGAAGGGATAGGCTACCCAACTCAGCATTCATGGGCTTCCCTGGCGGCTCAGAGAGCAAAGAAGCCATTTGCAATGCAGGAGACCTGGGTTCGATCCCTGGGTTGGGAAGATCCCCTGGAGGAGGGCATGGCAATCCAGTCCAGTATTCTTGCCTGGAGAGTCCCCACGGACAGAGGAGCCTGGCAGGCTACAGTCTGTAGGGTCAGAAGGAGTCAGACCTGACTGTGTGACTAAGCACCTTACAGGATAATTCCAGTCTTTTCACTTTGTAGGCAGTAGCTTTAAAAATGTACTCTGATAAACTGTATCAAAAGAAAATTTTGATAAAAAAGAAAATTTGTCTGTTACTTTACATATAGCTCAACTAAGTCTCAGTGAAGATATACTCTATCTCATACCATGTTTTCAATGGAAGAAAAGAAACATTTTTTTTCCAGACAAAGAAAGGTGAAACATTTTGCTTTTTTAAGAAACTATTTCTGAGACAGTGTTTCATTTTATTCTGTAACTTAGAATAAATATCACTTCTGCTTCTAAATGCATCTAGCTGTGGTCTAAGCTTTGACAATATTTTTTTTTTCTCTCATTATTAGGAATTTCAAAAGAAAGATGAAGAGCTTAGGTGAATAAAAATGGAAACAGAATCTGGCAGCTGAGAAACACTCCAGCCCACTCTAAGGACTTGCTTATGTACACCAATATCCTAGGTCAGAGCAAATATAAACTAATTTAATATATGGTACCAACCAGTCCATCCTAAAGGAGATCAATCCTGGGTGTTCATTGGAAGGACTGATGCTGAAGCTGAAGCTCCAATACTTTGGCCACCTGATGCGAAGAGCTGACTCATTTGAAAAGACCCTGATGCTGGGAAAGATTGAGGGCAGGAGGAGAAGGGGACGACAGAGGATGAGATGGTTGGATGGCATCACCGACTCGATGGACACGCGTTTGAGCTTAACTCGGAAGACAGTTAAGAACAGGGAAACCTGGCGCGATGCAGTCATGGGGTGGTGAAGAGTCAGACACGACTGAGCGACTGAACAACAACAACAAACGTTTGATGAGAGAAAGAAAAAACTAATGAAAGCTGGAGTAACCCAGTAAAGTTTCTTAGAAATGGCATGATATGAGCCAAGATTTGAATAACCATGATTTAGATTATAAAAGATCAAAAAGGAAATGCATTTCAGGAAGCAATATAGAGAAAATAAGTGAATAGGGGTAAAGTAAAAAAGAAATGTCTCAAAAAATCAAGCTCTATGTGGCAAACAGTGGCATGCCAATTTATCTCTTGCTATTCTAAAGTTCAGGAAACTAGTAAGGCTTAAACTCCTTTAGTTAATTGATGTTAAGGCAAAATGACAAAATCATGAATGTGATGGATTAAATGATTAACTTGCTGGTGCTAGTTATACAAGTGTGTTCAGGTTGAAAAATTTCATAAAGCTGACCATCTGTGATTTGTATACTTTTCTATATGCATGTTACAGTTAATTAAAAGAGAGAAATATAGATTTTAATATGGAAGCTAGGTATAAAATAGATTGATGAGAGCAAAAATATAAAAACAGACATAAGAAGGAAAATTAATAAGTCATTATAGCTATCAGTTCAGTTCAGTTGCTCAGTTGTGTCCGACTCTTTGTGACCCCATGAATCGCAGCACACCAGACCTCCCTGTCCATCACCAACTCCTGGAGTTTACTCAAACTCATGTCCATCCAGTCGGTGATGCCATCCAGCCATCTCAACCTCTGTCGTCCCCTTCTCCTCCTGCCCCCAATCTCTCCCAGTATCAGGGTCTTTTCCAAGGAGTCAATTCATCGCATGAGGTGGCCAAAGTACTGGAGTTTCAGCTTCAGCTTGAGAAATGAGG